ACCAGCACCTCCCTCAGCAGCTCTTGAGGCATCTGAGCCCAGCAGCTCTGCTTCAGTGACTCACCCACCGACTCGGCCGAGCCAGCCGAGTCTTGGACCACCCGCTGCGACCGGGAAAACTTCATGTCCTGAAGTATACTCCTTATCGACATTTCTCTACTCAAGCTTATCAAAATCTATCAACTCCGCGATGAAAAAGATGAATTTTTGGTTTTGGGTTTTGGGTTTTGGGAACGGAAGGATTGGGATTCTGAAGAAGGATCGAGTGTGGGCGAGGCAAGTGGGAATATTTATTTGTCTTGTTGTCTGTTTGTTTGCATTTTTTTCTCTCCAAGCCTCCTTCCTTATCATCACACTACCAAAAAGCATATGAATTTCTTCTTATTTTATTGTGTTTGAGAAGACAGCCATGCCTAGTGTTATTTATTTATTTATATTCTTTGGTGGGTGGGAAAAAGGAAAAGCAAAAAAAAAAAAAAAAAAGAAAAGAAAAAGAGCAAAATAATAGTAACCATTTTTGGCTTTTTAGCAAAATTTTATTTCCTTTTTTTGGGGCCATTCTTAATTGTATAAAGAAAGAAATTTTGACAAATAAAAAGAAGAAGAAAGAAATTAGGGGAATTGAGAATTTTGGTTCAAAATTGGTCAGCAGAAAATAGAATCTAACAAAATGAAAACGTGATTTGATTTGAATATATTTAGTTTCCTGAATAGGGTGATTTGGTCAAACATTTACCATTTCTTCAGCATTTTGTATAAATATATAATATGTTTAATGTTTTCAACTCTGGAAAATGACTTCTTTGTTATGGTACACGTGGCGTATTTTGATCATTGAAGTGTAATTAGGAGATTTACTGGCTGTGTGATGGAAAATAGGTCATGATGAAATATGGAAAAGAAAACTTAAAAATAAAAATGCATGAATGTTTCTTTAGATTGGAGTTTAGTGGTAGGTAGTTAGGCGCATTTCAATTCAATACAATTTAACCAAACTGATCGACCCAATTTAATCCAATTTGGTTACTATTGATTACTTTGGCGATTTAATTCATCTTTAAGTAACCAGTATGTTTTATTACGTGAATATCTATTTTAGCCATAAGTAGCTGATTAAATTTTGTAACATATAAAAGAGCGATAATATAAACAAAAACCAGTTCAAAGCAACTAAGATGTCGAATATGGACACAACTTCTCCAATGACCAAACGCAACAAGTTGAATTGATCTTGAGAGAATACATACAACCCAAAAAATGATTAAATCTCTTAATCAACAACCAAAAGAACATGTACTCAAATATGCAATAAAGATTTGTCTATATCAAAAGCCAAAAGCAAAAATAAAATAAAATATCTTAAACAAAAAATAAACCACATCAAACTTCTAAAGAGTTCATGGGAATTATTAGACTAAAACAAACTAAGACACAAAACCACTGCTCCACATCCTCTCAGGCAACTCGAAGTGCCACACCAACGAAACCCAAATTCGACGCAACTCGACATTATCCCGGCTTCGTAGCTCCAAATCTATATCGAAGGCTGACAACTTGAGCCAAATCCTTGCATGCATGGGTCGAAAGACGGCAACTATATCATGATGACGGCAACGTTCCACTGCAATGGTTCTACATCACAAAAGGAAAGAGAGGAGAAGAAATGTGATGCAGTAGGAAGGGTGGCTGCTAGAGATGTTAATGGATGGATTTGGTGGCGTTTGATTCGCTGGATTTTCGAATCAGATCGAGTTGAAATATTTTTAAAATCAAGTAGGGTCAAATTTCAAGTGCTCCACTCCATCTCCATCTCCAACCAGTTTACAGGCCTAGTGATTGCAGACCCCAAAGGTTTTCTCTCTTATGCTATAGCTAAGCTGATTACATTCTACTTTGATGTAGATGTAGCTTCTTTCTTTCATTTTTGGCCAAATAAAGTTGATATCTTCTGTCAAAAGGAAAACGTCGATATGTTTTTGTAAGCGAGGCAACCCTAACCCATTTTTCAACTAATAATTTAATTTGGTCCTCATTAAATACGCTTGAGCTGCTGCCTGCCAAAAACTCAACGTGAAATAGTTGATTATGGACGAAATCCAATTCAATTTCAATTATCTGAAAGTGGACCCCACAGGCAGAGGTAGCGGCACACATACATGTGCAAATAAATTAATCACAGTCTCAATCGATGGGCGGAGCCGCGGATGGCACAAATTTGCCGGCTAAAACAAGTTGGTGGAATATTTATAAATTTAAAAAAATTGCCATATAATAAAGCAAAAATTAGCTTTTCTCGTATCAATATATTATACAAATTTTTTTAATTTTTGTTTTATCGCAAAAGGGGCAAAGCCTTTGTTTTTATTTTTCAAATGGGTCCAAAAAGAAGAAGACGCAAACATATTCTAATTCCATCTGATTTTGCTAAGTATAACCCCCCACCCAACCCGGAGTGAAAATTGTGACGGGAATCTCTAATCTAATTGTTGTTGTGGGCCACTCCAATAATCATATTCCATCTGTTTGTGTTTTCTGTGTTTAGCTGGACCTCTCTCTTCTCTTCTCTCACACAACACTTATACGGCAAGCAAGTTTATAAAGATGAGAGGAAAGCACCAAAAAAAGAAACCAAAAGCAAACAAATTAGAACAGAGCATGTGTAAACGAGGACATGATATATCTTCTTGTAATGAGAGGAACGCTTTGTTTGTCGGTACTTAAATCGATGTCTCTTTGTCTAATCAAAACCTACCAGGCAAAATATGCTTTCAGATATGATATGATATGAGATCCTTTGGAGGCCAAACCAGATCAGGAGCAAAATTGACCTAGCTCACTCAAAGGATTAGGGTATTATGGAAAATATTTCTCTAATGTCCCGGATAAGTAGCCAATGGCATACGTGTAGAAGTTTTTATTTTTGTGTTTTTAATATTTGACTCTTGTTTGAGAATATTATATTCACTATATTGAAATAGAGAGATGATATTTTATGTTTTCTCGACAAGATAGGCATGGGACAACCCAAAGAAAAATGATTATTACAACAGCAACCAAACATGAATTTAAGATGTTGATACATACCCCAAAAACCCAACCAACTTTTGCATTGATTTGTCTCACGAAAAAAGTGAAATCCCACATACCAATTGGTATGGGTAGGGATTAGGAAAGTGACGATGGCAATTTTTCTAAAATGGGGCACTATTGGAGAAAGAGGATGGAAGGATGGATGGATGCCAGCCTTATCAATCACATGACAAATATGATATTCGCAAGCATCCTACACCAGCCTTAAATCATCTTTCACTTCCTTTGATTCACTTGGTAAAGAATTTTTTTAATTTAAAAAAAAACATCAAATCTATACCTATAAAGATGATGGTTATAAAGTTATATCTATAAAGATTCTGTATTCAAGGAAGACCCTGTATTTCTCGTTTCCGTAACAAATGAAAGCATCTAATTAAAGAGACCCAAGACATCAATAACATCTCTGGGTACGAGTTGTGGTACGGTCAGTCGCCAACAACGCAATTTAGCTTTACTTTAACTCACCGGACTGACAGAATAATATCCAAAAATCACAACGTTTTTTTTCCAGAGACCACCTCTTTTTTACCACATCCAGTCTGAAATTTATGATTGAATTATTACCACAGAATGCTGATATTTTAATCACAAACAAGCAAACTCCTCGTTGAAAATAAAAGACCAATGTATTTAAAAATATCCTAGCACAACAACTGGAAGCTGTCCAAGTCTATTGCTGTCACACATCAGTCTTGTGCCACTTTCATTGCATAAATGTTAATGGCAACTTACCAGGACCCACCAACTGAGAACTCCCACTTAATTTCACATTGAAATGGAGCAACATGTTCCCATCTCCACCAAACCTTCGATAGATACAAGAGAAGAGGATGTATTTTCTTGTCTATCCTTTAGGAGTTGCCAAGGACCAATGACAACAAATAATGTATATAATTTGCATCACATAAATCAGCGTGTTGTTGCACTCTCAAGAGATTAAACTTTTCTCTTTTTCTCCATGAAACAAATTCAAAATCATTCAGAAAATTATAGCAAAGGGAAGACGATATTAACCAAACTAATGGAACAATAAAAATATAAACCGATTAAAAGACTAGAAGTAGTCATATTTACAAATTCGAGAGTAGCATATCTTCTGACAGAAACTTAAAATTGAAATGCACAGCAATTGATATCTAAATATAGGTCAGTCATTGACTGGAATGTAAAAGCCTAGAATGAACATTTTAAAGATAAACTTAGTTAATATCAAAAAAAGAATCCTAAGTCCTAACCTCAAGCATTAGGTTAAAATTAAACCTTCACCGAGCCAAAAATTCCTACCAGGATTCCTATATAACGTGAACACTACCATTTTGCTGTTGCATGGTCCCCAGTGATTGTCCTACAAAACCAATGAAATTATTCAGGTGAAGGATTTATTCACCAAGTTACAGCCCAAATCAAACAAGATCAAATCTAATGCACACATCTTATGAAATACTGAAAAAAATGATCTTACAAAGAATTAAAGAATACCTGAGTTACCCGCAAAAGAATAAGGTTTTGAAAGAATTTTGCTTCTTGTTAAACCAACACCAGCAACCTGAGGCCTTGGAACATTATCAACAGGAAACTGATTTGAGAAGTCGCCATCAGGCAGGGAACCTACTGAGTTCCCCAAGCAAACTTCTGAATTTTGTGCAAGAATTTGATCAGGTTTCCTCATGGAAGGTAAAGACTGTGAGTCTCTCTGTTTTGCAATAAGTATCTGGAATTAGTTGTTAATCACTACAAAGTTTGACGAGAAAAGGAGACAGAGGATGGGGAGGGGGATCATTTATGCATATCGTGACGCAATGCAAATGTTGTCCTATAATTTCTTAACGTTTAGGCTTCAACGCCCAACTCCTTAATATTAGTGCACTCACCATGTCACTACACAGCTCCTTAGTTGATGCCACTGCCTCATAGTAAAGATGGCAAAGTGCTGATCGAAGACGATTGCTTTTTTGAGAGTAATATACTTTAGTAGCAAGGGGAAGAGGGCAATCTGATTGATACAAAACTCATTGTCAAATACTGTAAAACGAGAACATACAGTAGATAATCGAAACAGAAGAATCATCAGGATAAACTTTCCTAAGCAGTTGATTTACATATTTGATAATTCATCTTTAAGAAGCAAGATCATTGTTAATCTTTGTGTGCTGAAGTATAAGAATTGAGTAAACTGACACAACTATTAGTATACCTTTAATTGGCATGCAGCATTCAAGGGCTTGCCCAGACTTCTTATATTTAAGGGCAGAGTCATTAGGTATTTCACTTACAGAAATGACTCCTTTTGAAGAATCCCTATCTGCACACATGCATGAAATACATACATATACATGAGTACATCATAAATTTAAAACTTCTCACACTTTGAAACATTGTGGTAAAGGACTCAGCTATACATGCAAAGTTAAAATTTCCTTAAACAATCTTTGCAAATCCCCTGTAATTTCACCTTCGGGGGGATTTACATAAATAAAGTGCTTGGATATTCTAGAACGGCCAAGCTACAGGACAGTGTATAAGAAGACGAATGCATATTAAAGATTTAGCCTCACAAGGGCATGCATCCTGAGTGCTTGTAAGTTTTGATACAGCAGATACTATTCCTATATCTGATAGTGGCAGCTGCTCACCTGCTACCCTACAAGAGGGGAAAAAGGGATTTGCGTCACATAAAGGAAATGAATGACAAATATCAACAGTATTTAAAGGGTGCTTTCTTTAAAAATTAAAACAAAATAACAAATGAACGTTCCAACAAACCATTGCATTTGACTTGTATAAAGGGCGCAAGAATATAACCCACTTTGACATGTTGCAATTTAAGGCATAAATAAAAGTAGCAACTACACCCTTTTCTCTAAAAGAAACCAAAGGAAGCATAGGTTCAGGGACAAATGAAAGAAGAATTCACCTAGATCACATGCCTAAGCGCTTATTATCTGGACATTCTACACCACTATAGGGCATATAAAGCCACTGAGAGTCCATTTCTCTAAGTTGCTCTAGAACACAGTGCATAAATACTTAACTTCCTTTCAAAAAAATAAACTGAAAATTAACAGTGCAGCATTACACAAGATCAGAGGAACTAGGAGGGAAAATGATGCAGTACAGCCCGTAGGTATTAGATTAAGCACTCAAACAATAGAACATAGAAGAATATAATAGATCGAGGAGACGAAAATATAGATCGAAAAGACGAAAGAAAGGGCAGAACAGTAGAACAAGAAGAATATCAGAGATCGAGCAGACGAAAATATAGATCGAAGGGACGAAAGAAAGGACCGAAATCAGAGAACCGAGAAGGAAGGACAGAAATCACATAATTTTAAGAGAAGGTTTACTCAATATCCAAATCTGAATTTTAAAGAACTACATGGGGTTATTTATAGCAAACTAAAACCTAGACATAATAGGATAAAAATCTCTTGCTTAAACAGAAATCCTAACCCAAATAAAATAGGAAACTTAAAACTAGAAATCTGGAAAAATAGAAATCCTACTAGAGTTTGGAAAACTAGAGAATCTAGGAAACTAACAAAGACAATAGGACACTAATAAACTTAAGTCCTACGCGTCCTGCATCATTCTCCTCCGGCAAAAAGAACTCGACTCCAACGAGTGAAGAGCAATAAAAGCAAAATCCCAAGTGTCAAGAGGCATGTTGCGTCCTTTAGGTCTTCAAGATCAGCATCATATTTGCCACCTTCAAACCATCCATTCCATAAGCATGGAACATTATGCCTGTTAAGAACGTCAAATAGAGATCTCTGCCTAGATCCATGAGCAACATGATCGGCCAACGAACACAAGCGTGTGTGTGGGTGTGAGGGACCCTCAATCCAGTGTGTTCTTAAGTCGTCGCCGTAATGCCTTTGTTTAGGAAAAACACCTGGCTGGGCATGGCAGTCTATGCCAAAATCCAAGTGTCAGTGCACAAAGTTCTTGTCATGTGGTCGGGGCGGCAAGTTAGGGATGGGAACTGTGTCGTCAACCAGATGAGAGCCCATCATATGTTGGGTATAGTTGGGCTGCAGCATAGAATCAAAAGAAAAGAAGGGCTCCAGTTGAGCAGTGGGCATGCCGATCGATAGTCCAGTGGAATGATTCGGCATACCTGGTTGCACGGCCTTCAGTTTGTGATCCACCAGTGGATTGGGAAGAAGCCACCTTTTGGCAGCGGTGTAGACGAACTCAAGGGCACCGCTGAGGTAGAAGAAGGCTCAGTCGTTCCAAGCTGAAAGTGATTGATAAGCATCTGCAGTCTTGGACTTTGTTGATGGCAAGGGTCGTCGTCGCAAAATGGTTGTGGACCTGTACTGACTCTTCTTTTTGGTCAGCACTCAGCTTGGAGAGTTGGGTGTCAATTCTGGTGATATTGGCAGAAACTTTGGCTTTGAACTCATGAAATTGTGCGGACAGGCTGGCCACGGTTTGGGGTACCATGGTAAAGAGTAGACACAAGTGAAATCGAGAGCTGGTTCCGAATACCAATTGATGTAGTACAGCCCGTAGGTATTAGATTAAGCACTCAAACAATAGAACATAGAAGAATATAAGAGATCGAGGAGACGAAAATATTGATCAAAACGACGAAAGAAAGGGCAGAACAGTAGAACAAGAAGAATATCGGAGGTCGAGGAGACGAAAATATAGATCGAAGGGACGAAAGAAAGGACCGAAATCAGAGAACAGAGAAGGACGGACAGAAATCACATAGTTTTAAGAGAAGGTTTACTCAATATCCAAACCTAGGCATAATAGGATAAAAATCCCTTGCTTAAACAGAAATCCTAACCCAAATAAAATAGGAAACTTAAAACTAGAAATCTGGAAAAATAGAAATCCTACTAGAATTTGGAAAACTAGAGAATCTAGGAAACTAATAAATTTAGGTCCTACACGTCCTGCATCAGAAAGAGCCAGGGTACTAGTGTGCAATATATATTCAAAGTTCAAATATACAGTTTTAATGTACTTAAGATATGCATACAATCATAATGCAAAATAATTATCCTTCATAATAATAAAAATCATACATTTTAGACCGTTTTGTTGGAGGAAGCATCACACATGTTGAGCCATTGGTATTTCCAGGACTAACTCCTGAACCATCCATCATATATGTCGCATCTACATAAGCTGAATTCCCTAGATGACATGGTAAAAAAATGGAGAAAGCTGAATACAGATTGAACAGTAAAATAATTTGTTCGATTGCTAAACATTTTTTTTTCTTTCAAAATACAAATTGAAAAGAAATCATCTTACATATTTGAATATTATCTCCCAATCATGTTGTGCAGGAAAGAAACCAACTTAAAAGGCTATTGTGACATTGCTAGATGATATCAAGAATAGATCTAAACTCCAGGGAGAATCTTAAGAATACGTACAATCTGCAATGTAATACTTCACGTAACAGGGCTAGTCACTTTATACATTTCATATAACCATTAATAAATTCTGATCACGTGTCATTAGTGTTGTCAAATCAACCACTACAAGTATGCGCTAGCTACATGGTTTCTTGAATTAAGAAGATAGTTCCTCTGCTTTACTAGCTCATTGAACAGGAAAAAAGATAATGACAACCCAGAAGATACAAGCTGGCACTGCCCAAAAAGTTGTACAAGCCGATGTGATAACTAAAAAGCTAAGGGTCATCTGATAACATTTTAGTTTGTATTTTGTTCCTTTTTCTTAATTAGAGAGAGGGAAAATATATAGAAGAAATCAGGGAGAAAGATGAGAAAAAATGGGGGGAAATTCGACTGGCCTAGTAGTATAAGGCAACCGGTGGGGCCAGAAAAAAAAATGACAAAGCAAAACAGAAATTTAATATGAGGAAGCCAAATGATCAAACTGAAGCACAAGATCAAAGGCAAGAAAGAGTTACTTTTTGTCTCCATAAAACAGCAAGAATTCATTCCGATTTGCCCATCCAACTGGGGTTGTGATACAGCAATATCATCTGCTTCTACAGACTCAGATCTTTCTAGCTCCCCAACTGATGTGGACTGGTCTAGAAAAGGTTAAGAACCATCAGATTGTCACACCATTAAATAACATTAGCCTTCAAATCAGAACAAAATACCTCTGAGAAGATACTTGCAAAACACCCAGAAATTGGTTTTAAAATAATGACTACCATGAACTCTTTCAAAAAACTAGGAACTTTACTCCACTTTGATTCAAATAGAAAAGGAAAAGGAGAAAGGGGGTGACATATCAGTAGGAAATGTCAGAAAGAACAAGGAAAACACTAAATTTCACTGAAGTCATTATAAAAAGGATACTAGCATAAGCAGATAACAACTTTTTCTTCTCCTTCCTTGGAGGTTTCCTTTGTCCCATACTTCCATCAGGCTCCAAAGTAGTTTCTTGCATAGCATTTAATGACCTACAAAGTTCTGAAAATTTCGAGCCATGTCAGCATAGGGCTAGAACCAGCACACTTAAGAGTTAGGAAGCAACCAATTAGCAAGCACTACATGCAGGCCAATAAACATTGATAAGGTCTTTTTTATCCTAAATTTGAATTTGAATTGAGCTAGGATGAAAAAAATCCTTGTTCATAAATCCTTATCAGCATGATATTTTTAAATCTTATCATATAAGAAAAATCTGTGTTTCTCTAAAAATAAATTAAGGATGAATACGCATCAAATAATTATTGATACCATTTGGAATTTACAAAGAAATTTTCATAAAGGAATGGACCACCAAATATCCACACAAGAAAGAAAAGAAATATATGTGTCTATATAAATAAATAAAGGCTTTAAGTAAAACAAATAAGTTTTTTTAAAATAAATATATATTAAAAAAACCTTCAAACCTGCATGTGCCACATATTGACTGGCCTTGACTGGTCTTTTACAAGCATTGCAACATACCTTCACAGTGATAGTTAATAATCAGATTAGATAGAGGTTATGTAGATATATAATCACACAAACACATCAGAACTAAACAATTACATAAATGAGTTGGGTAATCTTTGGTACCGTTTTTATTTTAACTCAAAAATAGATCAGCTATAAAATAAAGAAAACATATTCTTCATTTTGGATTAGCACTCCATTAATATCATATTAGGCAGTGGTAGTGGTGGTAGTAGGCTGAAGGACCACATTGTTAAAGGAATTCACACAGGGTTTAGGGTAACTTATATTCTTCAAGTGGTTAAGGTATCCTTTAATTTCCGTTAAGAGGTAGTTATGAGAGTTAATTGTATAAGAAGCACAAAGGTAGTAAATATGAAGCTATTGATATTTAATTTAGGACGAGAGAAAGAAAATAAAAGCCACCTTGAACAGTGTTATATCCACATGACCAGTATACATATTTTTCTGGGACAAAGCGGAAACACCCAACATACATGGCCAAATATATACTTCCAAATACATATTTGTATATTGGTTACGACCAAATCTTTACTTTATAGACCTCAATACCATATAGCAAGACAAAACAATGTGATCTAAACCTTACCAAATGCAAAGGATCATCCATCGGCTTCAAACCAAACACATGCATATCTGCAGACCCAAATGGAAATCATCAACGAGTTTATGAAACTACGAACTTAGAAAATCCAAAAGGCTTATACAAAATTATAAAATGTTATGCAACAGAATTGAACACCAAGAATTGTGATACCATATGCATCTTCAAAACTAAAATTATATAAACAGAATGACTATTAAAGGTGCACATTTTGTGAGCCAAATTTGATCTAATTGTGAATATATTGTATAATAATGTTGATTAAAAGATGTGCCTAGTCTCTAGACTCTCTACCACCACCACCACCCCATTATCATTAAACGTCACTGCGGCACTGTAGCATTTTCCATGTTAGAAAACTCAAGATTAATTCAAGCACACCTGCTACATCAAACATGGAACAAATGCACTTTTTTATTAAGGGGTATCTGAAATGCGCAAAGAAATCACCTTCTTCGTCAAGCAAATTTGCTTCATTTGCGTCGCTTAACTCTCTGCAAATCATTTGAGCATCAAACTTCTGATGGCCAACTTCCTCTGTACAGGGGGTACAGGGGATACAGGGGAATGAGGTCAATAAGAAACCAAAATAACCAATGCAATGCTGCTTAGGAGTAAAAGTAATGAGTTCTACAAATCATAGGTAGATCATCTATATGTATAAAGGCAGAGCACAAAACTACATGCAATCCCAAAGTCTCCTTGTACCTGCTATGCTTTGTGTGACACTACCCGATGCAAGAAGCCTTGCCATCACCGCCATCCTCCCACTTCCAAGTGAGCATACCATTGAGACTTGTATATATCTGTAGGTAACAATCAGCAATAGTAAATGACTGCTGTAAATGACCAAGACCCTACAGAACATTTGTCCACCCTTGCATTACCATATAACCGGAAAGGAAAATAAACAATAAACAATAAACAATAAAGGCAGGGTAAGGCATATTCAGCATCTGCTGCTCAAGGTTTATATGGCAAACATACTTCAAAATTGCAGGGGCAATTTCACCATTATAAGCATGAAAGAATCCATTATTGTGTGCAATTCAAATACATACTTATCTGCTACTCTAAACCCAAATTTTTAAAAAAATTATAAGTTTTTTAAATAAATAAAAACTAAAAAATCGAACTCATCATTATGTGTAAAACGCAATATACACGCCCATAAAAGTGTAATACAATCCAAACCCTTATCAAAAGGTTCAAGCTAAAGAGCAAAACGCAGCCATGCTTAATGTCAACCACTTAAAAAATCAAAACCAAAATCAAGCGGACACCTCACCTTGGGTCCGTGCACAAGAAATCCTTCAAACAAAACCGATAAAATCCTTCGCAATTACCGAAACGAAGAAGAAATCGGGAAATTCGAATCAGTGACGAGTGCGAACTCAGGGAGCTCGGAGCAATGCTCGCGGGGTACGAAGGCGAAGAGAATGTCTGAATGTGCGTGACAATGGCGGAAGCGAAAACCCTAGAATGGAGACGAAGAGAGAATTTTACTTTTTTTGTTTTCCTTTTTGGTGTGGCGTTGAAATTCGAAACTGGTATTGAGTGTGGGTGCTGCTGCTCTCTGTCTATATTTGTGCAATCCTTTTCTCCTCCCAGAGGAGAAGAAAAGAAGAGAAGAGGTGGCAAAAGCTACAAGTTGTAAGAGAGACAGAGGAGAGAGGAGAGAGGGGCCTTTTTTGCTGAATTGGTTTTGGCCGCGCGTATGAAATGTATATGTGTTTGTAAGTGAACGGCCAGCACGTGCTCCACAGTTGTCCACTGGATTTCAAAAAATCTCACCCTAGTAATGGGTTGAAGTAATTTTCTTTTTACCGTCTAGCATCTTACACATTTTCCATCCAAATGTTGTTATATACACCCAAGTTCCAACAAACATATCACTATATTCAACATTCCACCCAAAAAATATATGGATTAAGCCAATTGACCATGATAGTGAGTTCGCCGCCTTGCATTCAAGTTTGAATCCCTCTCTCTATAAATTGGAGTAGTTTAGAGTCTGACTATAGATTGCATCAACCAAAAGATAAAAAAACCAATCAACACACAAAAAATGTCCAACTTTACATAGAAGCTTGAGAGTAGTTGGGAGAGACTTGCTATCATTGTGGAGATGTGTGTAGAAAGTTACAAATTACAGTGAGAGTGCCATTATATATGGAAAAACTAATGGGCCTCCTTTCATGGGCTTTTTGAAGTGGGCTAATGTCATGCCCAAATTATGGTACAAACTGTGCTAAATGTTTGCCTTTACATGCAGTAGCAATAGATTGTATTCATAATTCAGGCCTTATGGTTGTTAGTCATAAGGACCAATACAACCATACAAGGTTAATACAATTATAGAATCACATTAACCACAAGGGGTTAATCCAAATACGAAGGAGTCCACTAGCAACATCAAGCACACAAGACGTACCTTGACTCATAACCCTAAGAAATTCTGGGGTAAAAAAGTCGCAGACCTAGAAAAACCAAACATATACCTCATACTAGGGCTCGTCAATGGGCCGGGCCGGGCTAGCCCGGCCCAAATTTAACGGGCTTGGGCCGGGCCGGGTTGGGCTTTAAAGAGGAGAAAGAAAATATCGGGCCGGGCCGGGCCGGGTTTTTTTAGAAAATTCAAAGCCCAAGCCCGACCCATAGGTCGGGCTTGAGAAAGCCCATTGGGACGGGTTGGGCTAAGCCCAACGGGCCGGGCCGAAACGGGCCTACTTCATTCGAAAAAAATCATAAACTTAATCATAAGGGCATTTTAGTCTAAATTTGAGATTAAACTCACTTAATTCCAATATTTTCACATCAAACCAAATTCATAAAATACTCAATAAAGTCACACAACTTAATAAGATTTTCCACAAAAATAATAAAACAAAGTATTATTTTTGAGGTTATTACATAATTAGACCATAATACGTTTTAAGAAATAATTTAAAAAAATAATAAGTATCAAAAAGATATTTTTTTTAAAGGATGGTATAAATAAATATGTAAATGTTTGGTGATGTGTTCAAGAAAAACATGATTATATTTGGTGGTAGTAGTACGATTATGTTTCGTGATATGATTATGTTTAGTGATATGATATATTGTTCATCTTATTTATATATATATATA